AAGGGTGTCCCATTTATGGAAGGAATTAAAACTTGATGCTATATTAATGGTACATTTTGTTTACATGATTTATTTTTTGGGTTGAGCTATCATAATTAATTGTATGAAATTTCTTAGCGATTAATGTTGACCTTTAAATGGACATGTAATATTTCCCTTTTAATATATTGGGCTTTAGCCCTATTCATTCCCAAGAAAATACTTGTCTTACACAACTATATCTTTTAGCTATTTAAAATATATTTTTAACGTTATGATTTTGCATGAAAAGCTACACATTTTTTTAAATCAACGCTTGAAACAAAATAATGTTTGGTTAAAAAAAAAACAAAAAACAAAGTTTGTGGAAAATGCTATAAAAGTTTCAAATTACAAAATTTGTTTCATCATAATGCCAAATACCTTATCGGCAGAAATTGATTCATTGCTTGAATGCCGGCCCTTACTTGAGTTGCTGTCTGCTGCGTATCCTCCTCTTGTCCCCTCTCGGAGACCAGCACCTTCCCCAATGCCCATCCTCCCAAGAACGCTCGAGCTCCCACAAGCCTCGGATGAACGCTCTTCTTCTTCGTTCGTGCAGTCACTCATCCTCCCCTCCTTCCACAGCTGTCCCACTGATTGCCGCACAGCGTCCGCAGACGAACTCAAGTTCAAATAGCCATCACTACCGTAATGATATTGCCGGGTAAATCCAGTGGCTCCATTATGAATCTCTCTTTGGGAATGAATATTTTGAGGTGAAGAAGAATTCAGGATGCCATAGATTTCTTCCTCGGTGTCCGATGAGACATCCACTGGTATTTTGTGAGATAGAGGTACCGCATTGTCAGGCTGATGCCCGCTCTGAAATTTCTCTGGCGGAGGGATTGTAAAGTCTAGTCCATCATTTCGAATATTGTGAACCTGATCAGTGCTCTGAAATGTGTTCAAGTAACGAGGAAACGGAAGTCATCAACCCTTTTCTAAAGTAACCATGAAAAAAAAAGAGAAGAACAAACCCAATGTACAGGGCTAGAAGCGAGACCGACCTCCTGGATCCATTGAATTGCATGGGGATCCAGCCCTTCGGTAAACATCACGCCCACGGACTTGAACACCGTTCATAAATCTAGAGTAGAATCCAGCCAAGAATCTGCAACAAATTTCTTAAAAATCCATCAGCTTGGAGAAAAAAAAATCAAAAATCAAAACATGAATGACCAATGCATAATCAATCAATTCTGCTATTCAACTTCAAAAATAATTTAAAATGGGAAATAATATTATTTGCGTCCGTAATCATCAAATAAAAACTCCATGAAAATTACATTAAAGGAATCACGGAACTGCGCAAGAGCAGGGTTTTAGGGGACTCAACGCAGCCGAGCTTGAACGAGGATTTGTATCGCTGCCCTAGTTCGACGTCGGCGTAGCTAATGAAATGTGATATATTTCTCCTTGACCCAGTCGCAAAGATTAGCAAAAAAAAGAGGAAGAAGATGCGACAGTAGAGGGGAGAGACGGAACGAGTTACAGCACGCGGGAGCAGAGAGGTCTTGTTTTCTGGGTTCGGTTTTTAGTTATAGACTTGAATTTTAATCTGAACAGATTAAAATTTTAATTATGTTATTTTTAAAAAATTATTATAAGTGCCTAAAAACTTTTTTTTTCAGTTTTCAATGTAAAATTTTTTAATTTTTGTAAGAAAATGATTTAATGTTTTTTATTACATATGCAAATTAAAAAAAATCTAATTAAATTTTGGTTTAGCTCAAATTTCCTTATGATTGATTTAATTTCTTTAATTGATGGTTAACTGTTAAGGAATGGACTGGTCAACGTAAATGCTCCGTTGGACGTGGTGATGATGAGATGACGTGGCTTACGTAACGTACGTGACCATGTAACGGTCGAGCGTTTAGTGGGACCGATAAACCAGGAAAACGCGAAGTGGTTATCCAGGCCAAAGGCCGAAAGACAGGGCACGTGGGGAGACTACATGACCAAAATACCCTTCACGTGCACTCATATTACACGTGCTCGGAAAATGAATGTCACTATTTCTTCCTAGGATGTAGTGGCTGTGGGGTCCACTAACGAGCGAGCCTTTTCTGTTGGTGGGGGTAATTAAGGGCACGTTGAGCATTTTTATGAGGAAAAACTTTAATTATGATTATAATCTTCACCTAGAAAAAACTATCAATAGGTATAAAAGAAACAAAAAAACTTATAAGATTACAATTATATTTAATAGATAAAGAAATTTAAAAAAATAAAAGATGGGCTATAAAAAAATAATATATTGCAATGAGGGGAATCAGATGTCAAAAGAAACAAAAGAAGACAATCCTTCGTATCAAAATTAGCAAAAAATATATACAGCAGAAAGTATTACATAAAGAAAGCACCCTCAATTAGTGGTGAAAACAAGTCGAGTTGAGTTTGAGCAAGTCTAACTCGAGCTCAAATTGTGAGCCAAAATTCGAGCTCAATTTCGAGGCCAAAATTTGAGCTCGAGCCTGACTCATGACACTGAATAGGAGCTCATCGAGCGGCTCAATTCCATCTATGCTAATTCCACGTATCCGTCGGACTTCCGCATCCGCCCTGATTTTTGCATCCTTGCCAGACTCGTTTTCCTTGATTCCGCATCTACCTCGTTTCGCGTCTGAGCCTGCATTCGCCTTGTTCTGCATCCACCTCATTCCATGTTTGACCTTGCATCTATCTGGTTCGAGCTCGAGTCGGCTCACTAGTCAGCTTAACTCGATTGAACCCTATCCTCAATTCATTTGTATATCAAACAATTTCCCTTGTGATTTTCAATAAAGAGCTCCTTAGAAACATCAGTAAATCATCAGCTCCCATACAACAGTTTAGGAATGCATGGGCGAGCTTTAATTACAATTTTGTAGTTTTTAGGGTTCATTTGATGTTTGCCAATATTCAACAAAAT